ACTGGGCCTACTGGGGGAAGCCCTCCCCTGGTAGGCCTGGTCCACCCTGGGAAAGCCTGTGTCGGTGGGTGGGGGGAACCTCTGGAGGCCTTCCCCGCCGTCATGGGAGGCATCTTGGAGGTCCCCCCACACTGCCAATTGTGCTTCAGAGGGACGATTGGTGGCAGGAGGGGCCTCCAAGAGGCCTCCCATGGTGGTGGGGAAGGCCTCCGGAGGTCCCCGCCACTGCCGCTGCTGCTGGGAGCCGGGTTGTGCCGGGCAATCCCAGCCATTCTCGGGCTCTTGGACTTCCCCCGCCACCGCTGCTGGGAGCCGAGCGGCAGTGGCGGCGGGGGAAGTCCAGGAGTCCAAGCATGGCTGGGATCGCCTGGCATGGCTTGGCTCCCAGCAGAGGCTGCGGCAGCGGGGGACCTCTGGATGCCTTCCAGGGCTTCTCCACTGCCATGGGAAACTTCTCAGAGATCCCCTTTGCGCCGGCAATCGTGCTTCAGAGGCACTATCGGCGGTGGCGGGGGACCTCTGAGATGCCTCCCATGGCAGTGGAGGAGCTCTGGAAGGCATCCGGAGGCAGATCGGCAGCCTATGTACTGGAAGGGGGAGGCAGGGAAAGCACCAAATTTGAATTTGGCACTTTCCCCGCGTCCCCTTTCTGGCCCATATGTCAATTCTCTGCCCCCAAGTTGAAGTGAAACTTTGTGGCCAGAGAAGTACATACGTCAAAAAGTACGTAAGTGGAGCGAGCCATTCGTAAGTCGAGACTCCACTGTACTTTCCAAGATTCTGCTGTATTTCCTACAGTAGCTAACTAGATGTCACCAAAGATAAATACCTTTGCAGTGAAGTAATATTAACTGCATATTTTGCTCATGTTCCTTTTGTTGAAGGGTCAAACGCCTGTCACATTGTAACATGAGATGTTCAAGTGCCAATTCAAGTTCTCTTATTATGTTTTCTTGTTCTGTTACTCTCATTCCCAGCTCTTCAGCACGAAGTTGCAATTTACGTTCAGTTTCACGGAGGCTGACAACCTGGAAAAGTAATACTGTAGTGTTTTTCTTTTGGTAGATCAAAGCACCCTAACTAATAAGAACAAGACATACCACACTTCAAAAGTAGAATAAATTTGAAAGAGCCAATCCCTTACTATGCTGTCAGTATAAGAAACTAATACAGCATATCTTTCAGTTTGTAAGGCCATAAACATATTGCATCATGTACTTCATCTCAATGACAAAGGAATCATCTAAGCTAGAAAATGTGTCTCTTGCACAAAATACTGCCACATATTCTACAGCTCTTATCACAGCAAATAATGACCAGAAGCAACACACAATAGATTTTCGCAATAACTCATGCATTAGGATGGCAAACTTTACAGTATAAATTATGTGCAGAGTTTATTGGTATGTCTGCTTGCATAATACCCTCTCCAGATTCAAATTACTATGCAACTCATTTTTATCATTCTAACTACTGTCACAAAGCATAGAATTGGGGAGTAGGGGCCAATAAGACCATCAAGTCCAACCCACTGCTCAGTGCAGGAATCCAAATCAAGGCAGATCTGGCAGATGGCTGTCTAAGTTTCTCTTGAATGCCTCCAGAGTTGGAGTGCTCACCACCTTCTCAAGGTTGCTTGTTTGGCCTACAAGTCCCATCTCGTACACCAGCCCTCCCCCCCAAAAAAAGTCTGAAAACCTCCAGAGTTGGAGTGCTCACCACCTTCTCAAGGTTGCTTGTTTGGCCTACAAGTCCCATCTCGTACACCAGCCCTCCCCCCAAAAAAAGTCTGAAAAGCATTAGAATAGAATTGTAAAATCATAGAATAATTGAGTTGGAAAGGGACCATAAGGCCATTTAGTCCAATCCCCTGCTGAGTGCAAAAATCCAAATCAAATGGTTGTCCAGTTTTCTCCTGAATGCCCCCAGTGCTGTAGCTCTCACCACCACCCAAGATAATAGGTTCCATTGTCATACTGCTCTAAGAGTTCAAATTTTTTTCCTGTTTTTCAATCAAAATCTGACTTCATATAACTTGAGCCTGTTATTAAGTGTCCTGTGGTCTGGGATGATTGAGAACAAATATTTCCTTCCTGTATATGACAATCTTTCAAGTATTTGAAGAGTACTGTCATATCTCCCCTCAGTCTTCTTTTCTCAAGGCTAAACGTGCCCAGTTCTTTCAGTCTTTCCTCATAGGGCTTGGTTTCCATTTCCCTGATCATCTTTGTTGCCCTCCACTGAACCTCTTCCAGTTTGTTGGCATCCTTCTTAAACTGTGGTGTTCAGAACTGTATATAGTATTCTAGATGAGGCGTTACCAGTGCCAAATAGAGGGGAACTAGTACTTTGACGAATTTGGAGATTATACCACTGTTCATGCAGTCTAAAATAGCATCTGCCTTTTTTGCAGCTACATCACACTATTGGCTCATACTCAGCTTGTGATCTATAACAATTCCAAGCTCCATCTTGCATGTAGTATTACTGAACCAAGTATCCCCCATCTTTTAACTGTGTGTCTGTTGTTTTTAGTCCAGTGCTTGAGCCTATCTGAATGTAATGGTATTAGCTATTCCACCCAATTCTGTCATCTGCAAATCTGATTAGCATTCCCTGCAGCCCCTCATCCAAGACATTAATAAAAATATTGAAGAACACAGGGCCCAGGACTGTGCCTTGTGGTACCCCGCTTGTTTTTTCCTCCCAGTTTGAGAAGGAGCTTTTGATAAGCAGTCTCTAAATACAGTTCTGTAACCAACTGTGTATACAGCTGCAGCATTCCCACCATCATAGCAAATGGCCATTTTGTGCCTACAACAAAATGGGCAGTATTTACTCAGTTACATGTTCTTCAAACAAACCTTCTTAAAATATTTTAAAAGAATTGCTCGTAGCTCAGCAGCAGACAAGGAAACCAACTTTCCCATCAAGTTGGCTTCACTCTGTGAAAGGACTTGAGATGACGCTCTAAGTGAGTTTTGGTGATTTTCGATACTTTCATTCTTGTAAGCAATGGCAACTTCCAAAGTTTCAATCCCTTCTTCAAGCTGGAATAGAACATGTTCTTCCTGGAAAGAAGTTGTGAAATCAATTCAGTTCAGCAGAAGGCTACAAAAGATTATTAACTTTAAATATTTATTAAGTATTAAAATTATTATTATTAAATAGTATAATGTAGCAACCTTCAAATACAGTATATTAGAAAGATTATGCTCAGTAAATATTGTCATATGCACTATATTTTTATATGCAGAAATTGATAGCAGGACATAATTTAAATGGTACAGTGGTGCCTCGCTTAACGAGGATAATCCGTTCCAGTGAAATCGCTGTAGAGCGAAATCCTCGTTAAGCGAAATTAAAAAATCCCATTGAAACACATTGAAAACCCATTCAATGCGTTCCAATGGGCTGAATAACTCACCATCCAGCGAAGATCCTCCATAGGGGCGGCCATTTTCGGTGCCTGTAAAGCGAGGAATCCATCCAAAAACACAGTGGGGAGCCATTTTACACAGCGGGCAATCATTTCTAAGCAACCGATCAGCTGTTTTAAAAACATCGTCTAGCGAAAAATCGGTTTCCGAAGCAGGAAACCGATCGTCGGGAAGTAAATTTTGCCTATTAAAACGTTGCTTTGCGATCGCAAAAGCGGTTGCAAAACAGTCATCGTATGGCGGTTTCGTCGTTTAATGAAGTAATCGTTAAGCGAGGCACCACTGTATTGATATCCCTCATGCAAGGGCTCTGCGAGTGATTTTACTCCATTCCTCTTGGACAGATTTCTGAGCCAAAAAGGTTTGGTGTATTGCTTGAGAGTAGTGTGTGCTCTAGAACACTACTTTATAACAGGAAAAGTATCTATGGTAGCAAAGTCATCATGGAATATATTTTTCCAAAGATAAACAACTTTAAAGTCACTGTCCTTCTAACCCAAACCTCGGACGACCAGACTCAGCTTCTTGTTACTTATCCTCACAAAACAATTATTTCCATTTTGCAGTGATATGGAGTAAAGGATATGAATGACTTATATCATGGCCAAATACTAAAGAAAGAAGACTTTTGTGTCAGACATGGAATCAGGTTCAAGAATGTCAAAATTGTTATAATATATTATTATGCAACCCAGCATATACTGTATGTATGTGTATATGTGCATATAAGAATGAATGAGTTGTATTTGAATAACAGAATGTGTGTAACCAATCAGATTCTGTCTAATGTCATCCAATAGGTGCTCAGAGGGTTAACTGTCAGATATAAGAGAGGGTGACAATATGAGGCTGGTTTTGTTGGCGTGAATCTTGTCTATTGATATGTAGATGTTCAGTTAAGCTGCTATGTTGCCTGCAGTGATTATGTCAATAAAGAAGCTGTTATGAAACTCCTAAAAGTCTGTCAAGCACAAACCAAATCAATACCAAATAAAGTGTAAAACGGGCTGTGTGTGCATGTGGGTATGCATGGGGGGAGTGCATGTGGAGGGGTAAGAGATCTGTCTCCGCGGCTCGGTCCTGCAAATGTCACAGACCGACCATGGGCCGGGAGTTGGGGACCCCTGTTCTATTGCATACAACACTTCCCTATTCTTCTGTGGCCTGATGGTCTTATTGGGAGGTTAGAGGGAATGCTGGACCACCTTTGGAATACATGTCTCATATCCAGGTGTTTCAGAAATTGTATAAGAATGGGATAAGGTCAGCAAAATGTGTAGTTAACATACATGTTCACTGCTAGTATTCTGGTGTACATTTTTGACTCATACCAGGACAGAGCACTAAACTTCAGGTTGCTCTTTTTGTGGTAGTGAAAGGAAGAGGATGGAATGTAGACATACATTTTATTCCTTTCTCTTGTTTGATACTATGGTATAGCATAAGTTAGTACAAAATGACAGTAGGTCATTGCAATGTGAATCTATTTGATACTATGGTATAGCATAAGTTAGTACGAAATGACAGTAGGTCATGTGAATCTAAGATGGTGAAGTGATACCTGATTACCAGCATATATTGATAATTTTACTGACCTATCAGAACACTTATGGCAGTGATAGATTTGCTAAGGTTATTGTATTTTAACGAGTATAGAAAATTCCAGTCAATCCTGGAATTTACTAACAAGTGAGAACATGGAATCTACTGCAGGGTCTTACGATGGCCTCCCATGTATACTTATTTATCACTAAGTCCAAACAAGTTTTAGTTACCAGTCTAACCTGACTGAACAGTTATTTTCAAAAATATTTTCTTTTGATTTTTTCAAACATGCCTTTGTTATTTTTGTTATTGCAGCTCCAAATACTAGCTGTTTAGCTACTACTACAAATATACTCTTCTCCTAATAGTACCACTTTCCTTGATAAATTACTTACATCAGGTGACAACACTCTGCCATTCTTCAGTTTTTCATCCATACTGTTCCTTCTTTTCAATAGCTGATCCCTTTCCTTCTGCAAAGCCTGGACTTCTTCATAAATCTTTCCTTGTTCGTCATTGGTGCTGCCTTGAAGCTGCATGTTTTTGTCATGTAACTCCTGATCCAGTATGCATAGACGGTTAGATAGGTTCAAAATGTCTTTACTGAGAGCCTAAGAAAGCCATAGAAGAAAATTCAGTCCCTTTTGTGAAGGAATCCTCACCTATTCTACCAGGCTTCATCAAGAAGAACATGACTGGTTGAAAGGAGAACCAATACGGAGAAGACAACAAGAGATATTTAAAGAGAGGAGCCATTTTGTTAGTTAACAGTTAACAAAGAGTTAAGGAGAAGCAGAGTATATCTCAGGACAGGAGTGAGGGTTTCCAGGGAGCTATTTACTATATGATAGAACTCCTTCTAGCATGGAAAGTTAATTATTTTTAACATATGAATCTTCAAGCTTATGAGAGTGCCTTCTAACCCTTAAGCTTACTAAATTAAGAATTTTATTTTATGTTTCACTTTAAAACTACTTGGCTGTTATGACTTGGGCTTAAGGATAGCTGGGGGGGGGAGAGAAGGCAGTTCAGGAGGTGATTGGCCAGGTAGGGCTAGTCACACCTTTTTAAGTGACATTCTTCCTTACCCCACTGTGCAACTACATACACACCAACCTGTAGAACTTTACTAGAGGAGGCTGGCTCCAGACTAGATTAGCCATATTTTTATCCCATTGAAATTAAATAGAAGAAGCATGACTGGTTAGTGTAGGTCCAACCCTCTAATAGTAATATTGTAAAGAGGAGACATTTGGTTCTGTTTTATTTCAGTATGTGGGTTTTGGTGCTGTAGATGCAACAACAAATAAAAGTACAAAGCACTGAAATTACAGAGGCGCCCAATTATTATCAGAAAAGCTGATGTTTGCATTTCACAATCTGCAATTGTCTAATCAATACTGAAGAAATATCTCTCATTATTCCAGCTTTGCCAAAAGAAAGAATATGAAAAAGCAGGTTGCTTGAAATTAAACCTCCTGACCAGCGGTACAATTAATCATCACAGCTTTGTAACCTCAGCCCTTAGATAGCAGCCTAGAATATTGCATAACCAAATACCTGGCTGGATCTCAGTTTTTTAATTTCCAGATGGCTCTTCTCCTGCACTAGTGCTTCCTTCTTGGAAATGATAGCTTCTCTTCTTTTTAAATCTTCCTCCAGATGAGCTAGTTCTTGGCGTTGATGCAAAACCTTTTCTAGCTCTTCATCTAGCCATTTCTTTTTCTCTTCTAATTTCTGCATCAGGAAATAAAATATATTTCAGAAATAATAGTTAATGATGGTTTAACAGAATGGATTTTTCTAGGCCGAGGCACAAGACAAGGCTGCCCACTTTCACCAGTATTGTTTTGTATGATTATAGAATTCTTAGCTAATGCAATCAGAAATGATGAATTAAAGGATTAGGCAAAAATGATGCAATTAAAATCAATTTATTTGCTGATGACTCATTATTAACTATTAAAAACCCATTAGAAAGTATGGATAGAATTAAAAATCATTTAGAAAAATTTGGGGAAATAATAAGATTAACTATTAATTGGCAAAAAACACAAGTAAAGATGTTTAACCACAACAAATATGAACAAGAAAAGTTTATAAATAAATATGGTTTTAAAATGTGTAGTTATATTAAATACTTTGGTATAAATACAGTCAAAGTGACTCAAAAATTCAAGGAGCAAAATTTTAATAAAATTTTGTTTAGGGCTTTATAAGTTAGAACGAACACCTTGAATCCAGCCCAGAAATGGATCTGCAGCCAGTGGAGCTGCTGTCACAGTGGGGTTATGTGATCCTGTAAGCCAGCCAAAATCCTGGCCTGCAGATGTGGTGGTAAAGGCTTCTGGGAGTTGTAGTCCAAACACATCTGGAGACCCAAGGTTGGGGACCACTGCTGTAAGCAGTCAGCAATCTGGCTGCTACATTTTGGACCAGTTAAAGTTTCCAAATGCTTTCAACAGACAGCTCCACATAGAGAGCATTATAGCAATCCAGCTGGGATGTAACTAAGGCATGTGTCACCGTGGCCAGATCAGATCTCTCGGGAATGGGTGCAACTGGTGCACTCATTTTGATTGTGCAAAGGCACTCCTGGCCACTGCCAAAACCTAGGCACCAATTTAGGCATCAGAGACAAATACAGGAGCACCCCAGAGCTGTGCATATGCGTTTTCAGAGGGAGTGTATCAGAGACAAATCCAGGAGCACCCCAGAGATGTGCATATGCGTTTTCAGAGGGAGTGCGACCACATCCAGCAGGGGCTGCATCCATATTCCTTGATCTGCCTTTCAACTGACCAGGGGCACCTCTGTCTGGATTAAGTTTCAGTTAATTTTCTCCTCATCCAGTCCATTACTGACATCAGACACCGATCTAGAGCAGAAATAGCCTCCTCAGATATAGATGGCAAGGAGAGATAGAGTTGGGTATCTTTTGCATGCTGGTGACACCAAACCTCAACATTCTGGATAACGTGTCCCAGTGGTTTCATATAGATATTTAATAATATAGGAGACAAAACAGAACTGAGGGACCCCACAGGCCAGCAGCCAGGTGTCAAACAGGTTTCTCCTAGCACAGCCTTGTGGGTTCTCTCCTCTAGGAAAGACCATGTACTGCAGTCATCATTGTTTGACAGCCTGGTCTCCCCCTTTTAAAAGAACTGGCTACACTAGTTTACTGTCTAAAGACTGCTAATAGTTTACGTAAAGCTGTTCCAGCCAGAGCTAGAGCTAATTTTACAGGGAGGGTCCTTAGGATGGGCAAGTAAGGAGACTTGGCAAGGTGGGAAAGAAAGAAGAGTGAGAGTCAGGTGCAAGGAAAATGGAATGGTAGCAGTGGCATTTTTGTTTGTTTCCATGAATGGAATGGTAGCAGTGGCATTTTTGTTTGTTTGTTTCCATGATAAAGTAGAAACCACTAAGGAGGAAAAGATGGAATAGCTGCACAGAGCCTTTTAGCTGGCTGCACTAAGAGACTTCTCCAACAGCACCCTTATTGTCAGGTGAGCGGGTCTAGGATTGCAGGCTTCAGTACTGAATTATATTTAAGCAACAGCACATCCAGACATCCTATTTGCTCCTGTTAAAGAGTTGGTTCCATTACCCATTGATTCAGATTAGTTTAACAGATGATGTTGCTGGAGAATGGAATCAACTCCTTCCCCTTCCCTTCTACTTCAGAATTATTTTCCTTCACTGAGATTTTTTTTCTTAGCCACCTGTTCCATTCTAGATGTGTCAGACCCATTTGTTTCTTTGTCCTGAACAAGGCCACTTCCTACAGTATGGGATGTGGCCAATTAAAACTCCTCTGACACCAGCTATATCATCTGTGGGAGTGCCTTACTTCAACCTCCCCCTATGGGAGGGGAAGAGTCAAGGGATGGAGACAGCATGAAGAAGGAGAGACCCATGACAGGGGGAGGTGGGAGGCAGTGGAGAGGGGACGTCCTCTGGTATGGAAATTCAAATTGGGGAAAAGGGGCCACTCTTTCAACTTGCTTCAATTTGAGCCACACACCTTTTTTTTTTTCATTTTTATCTCCTATTTTAAGTTTTCCCTTGTTAGAAATGCATTTTGTAGAGTCATGTTCACTTTACAAATCCAACTTCAGAATTTTTACTAGTTACCCTTCCAATTTATAACCAAGCACATTTGATTTACAGAAGCATGTCAAATAATTAAAGGGTTCAATATATTCTTGCATTTTATCTGTTAATTTTAAAAAAATCCCTTAATTTTTATGAATTAATTTAAAAGTTGCAATGTTTCAGCAATTCATTAGCTCCTAGTTACTTCTAACACTAGGGTTACAGAATATTAGTTACCTGTAGCTGCTGTGGGGTTTCAAATGAATTTTTCTTCTTAATTGCAGCAATTTCTTCATCTTTTAATTTTAAAATCTTCTCCTGCTGTTCCATCTTCTGTTGTAGCTCCTTTAAGTGAAAAAGAAACATTTTCATGTTTGTTATGAGAAATATATTTCAGTTCTTAGAATGAAAAAACTAAATTCTAGCAAATTTAGTTGCAATAAATATTTGTTCTAGAAAGTACTGTCAGAATGCAAGATCCAATAATGGGCTACCCATCAATGGAACAGTGGAATCCAGGCACTTCAGACTTCCATATGGGAAAAAAAACTGCTGTGGAGGGTTGAAAATTCCTTTGGAGTCAGTTTTCAGGCAGTTCTGGACGACGATTTGGTCTGTGCTTCACGGACTGTTTGTTCGCAAGACGACGATTTTTACAGCTAATCGTCGGCTTCGTAAAATGGCTTCCCTATGGGCGATCTTCGCAAAACGGGTGTTTTCGGGACCTATGCTTCGCAAGACAGCCTTTTTTACAGCTGATCGGCGCTTCGCAAAATGGCTTCCGTATGGGCGATTTTCGCTGGACGACGACTATTTTCCCCATTGGAACCCATTAAACGGGTTTTAATGCATTCCAATGGGGAAACGCTTTTCGCTAGACAATGTTTTCAGAAGATAGCGATTTCAATGGAATGGATTAATATCATCTAGTGAGGCACCACTGTGTGTGTGTGTGTGTGTGTGTGTGTGTGTGTGTGTGTGTGTATACATACACACACACACACAAGATATATATATATCTTCCTATTATTTGTACTGATGCTCATAGCCACAAAATGGTATCATCTTCTCACTAGTCCAGATTTGCAACCTGATACAAGATCTATTACAGGATAATTTAAGGTTTTGCAATATTACCAACAGAAAGGAAAAAAGAAATGCTATTGGAAGTTTATTAATTAAGGCATAAAGAAAATAAATTTCTTGCCTTGATCTGTAGTTGACCACGCTGAATTTCAGCCTCCAAGCTTTTCTTTTTTTCACTTTCTTCTCCCAGTCTTTTCTGTAACTGGGCTTGTTGATTTTTCATATGACTGACATTTTGCTTTACTTCTGATACACGCTTTTCAGTCTGGGTGGACAACGATGCCAATTTCTTGGTCTCCTGTTGTTTCTTCTGTAAGACCTACAGTCACACCACATAACTTAGCCCACAAAGTAAACAAATCTTTCTGTAAAAAAATATGATGTCTTAGTATTACACTGTATTGATCTGATCAGCAAAGTTCAAAGGCACTTGCAGAGAATTTTTATGCCATACATTCTCAAAAATACCCTGTATAAGGGAGAAATGTTTTCTGAATCTGTTATGACAAAAGAGAATGTGCATGTGTCAGAGCTGTAGATCCAATACCGTGATCCTTAGATGTGCATTCTCAAAAGATCTTAGCATTGGAAAGATGTCTTTGATTTTTAAACACTTCAATTAATTTTAATTACATTTAAATGTGCCAATGTCTTTGAAGACTGCAGTTCTGTCTTCAATCACTAGGTACCAGTCTTCCCCCACACAGGTTTGCATTTGTTTCAGTATGATTGAGGAGGAAGTAGTCCAAAGGACAGAACTAGTGTATAGAAGAACAGCTACTGTGGGGTACAGCAAGAAGTGGGTGCACCGAAAATATCAAATGGGTATGCCTAAATATGTCAAAAGTTGTGGTGTCACTCAGCTAGGGCAGCCAAAATTTATCCACTTTTGTCAAGTCACATACCTTGGTTTGAAAGCTTTGGTTTATCAAACTGAAGGCTATAGCAACCCAGGCCAAGCCAATTACATATACTAGGAGAAAATACCTTATTGCTGATTTTACATAGCTCTCATACTTGGGTTACACAATAAGCTGTATAGAGAATTTCCTGATCAATACAGGATGTGTATAATAGATGAGCAAGACATATTTCTATGGGAAAGGCCAACATCAGAATGAAAAATTGTGTGTAGCCCAGATACAGTGGTTTGCAGGCAAGCTAACCTGTTCACAGCAAAGATTCAAATCCTAATCATCTGAATCCCTAGCTTTGTTTCTTAAACACAATGGTTCAAACTACATGGTACATTAAATATGTGGCATGCAAATTATTCTTATTCTTAACTCAAAAGTAAAAATGCAGAGTCTTATTAAACTGGATTAAGATGACTGTGCACAGAGGAATTTCAACTCCCTCCATCTCCCCACACCTCCGTTTTCTAAATCTGCTCCCTCCCCGACAACAAAAAGAAAAATCCTCCACTGATAACAATTGGTGCTTTTTTCCTTCTTATTCCACCCCCAACCCTGTTCCACCCCAAGGGAAAGGGGACAGTATGGCAAAGCAATTTCAGACAAGTGGCTGAAGCAGGAAAGTTTAAATCTCTTGTACCCATGCAGATGGTTCAGATCCAGATCAGGGTCCTATACAGTATACTTATTTGTGAACAAAGAAAGTTCAGCTGCATGCAACCTATAACATTTTGTCTGATTTGCTTTTCATATACACATCTCTTTCAGTGCCTCATATGCCACGTCATACCTGCTGGGCAATGTGTTTAGATTTACTGTTAACAAAATACTATCATAAAATTGGTGCAGTTGAGTGGACAAGATTCCATATTCTTTTAGTCTCTTGCAACAGAATATATAGTCATACTCATCTAATGGAAGTAGTGGAATCACTCCTCATTCCTCAAGAAGCCAACTATAAACTTGAGAAGAATTGTACAGCACAATCATACATTTAACACATACTGAGGACAGCTTTGAAACTAGGAAGATCACAGGAGTAGTCTTTGTGACTTCTTAGCCACCTATTAAATGTTTCATCATCAAGCACTACTGGAAAAACTCTATACTTTAACCAAGAATTCTAAGCTAACTAAAGTAATAACAACCAAAGATGAGCACAAACTTCGGTTTCAAGGTTCATACCAGTCTTTCAGACCGGCACTACAGGTGCCACATGTTCCCCTCCCCCACCTCCTCAACTGGATCCTACACTCACCAGCTGGCATGTGCTGCTCTTCTCCAACTCTTCAAGTGTTCAACCAGTTCCAGCAGGAGCATGTGCTTCCCTCCTTGGCCTCCTCAGCAGCTGCCCACTCAAAGGCAGTGCTGATGGAATCTCTACCCTGCCTCCTCGTCTGAGTGGGCAGCTGCCAGAGGAGGTGGAGGAGGAAAGCACATGTTCCTGCTAGGACTGGTTGAACACCCGAAGAGGAAGAGAAGAGCAACATACGACAGCTGGTGAGTGGAGGATCTGGCCAGATGGGGTGGGGAAAGGGAATGTGCAGTACCTATGGTGCCAGTCTGATGAACCGGCACAAACTTCCGAAGCAAAGTTCATATGCATCCTTAATAGCAACCCTTTTGAAAAGGACAACACAACTGATGGAAAATTCAAAAGAACAGTCTACCTCAGGACAGTATTCTGGCTCTTATTTTAACATCTATACCATAAACCAACCACCTCTTCAAGGCACCAAAAGTTTTATTTATGCTGAAGATCTCGCTGCTCTATTGGACAGTTTCGAGATGGTGGAACATCATCTATCACATGCATCAGGAGAACTTGGTGCATATTATGATAGAAAGGATGCTTTAAGGGGATGCTGAAGACTGTCCTATCTCAAGAGGCATTCAAAAGCATCCTCTCCTGAGCTATTCTATCCGTGCTCTTGGTACTGTGGGTTTTGCATCTACTGTCTGTTTATTTGAGACATTTACTGCTGGATGGATGGGTCACTGTTATAGTAGGTTGCCGTAAACAGCTTACATTAGTGTTTTGCACTAAGTCAGAGGTATATAAATGCACAAAATAAACAAACTTCAAAAGCATACTAAGGCTCAAAAATATGCCTACTATCTGAGAAACAAGCAGGTTTCAAACTGTATGCTGACTTGTAAGAAATATTGCCAAAATACAAAGCAAAAAGTTTCCACAAGGAACAATATCCTTCAAAAGCTAACTAGCAGCTAGTTATGATGCACAATCACAAACACCAAGAACTACAATCTTGGTCCTGTGCTACTCTGCAGGCGAATACACCAGCCCGGTGTGGTAGACTTTATCCCATGCAAAATGCGTAGAAGTAGCAAAAATCTGTACAGACAAAGATCTTGTAACTAAAGAAAACTCCTTAGTGATGACTCCTGAAAAAGAGGAAAACTTACATGAGGATCAGGAAACATCATACTGTTCAGAGATTGTGAAACTGAAAACTTTAGAAGGATATAAATTGCAGTCAGCAGTAGTATCTAGGGAAAGGACGCAGCTAACTGAAAAAGCTGATCATTCTGTGTCTGCACCCATAATTAAAACCAGGCAACAAAACACCCTATCTAAGAAATTGAAGAATAAAGAAATAGAACTAGATACAATTAAATGTGCATCTAAAATTAAGCAAGTAGATAAAAGAGAAATGCAAGGAGTACTAAGTAATTTTACTCTAGTCATAGAAAAAATAAAAGAGGATAGAGTGAAAGTTATGATAAGGATAGCAGGCTATACCAAGCGTTGGGAAAGAAAGGGCAGATATATAGCCTCTCCTTTAAAAATTATAAAAGCTAAAAGAAAAAAAAAGATCCAGTGGTTGAGCAGATATAAAGAGACCCTGGAAAAGCTGCAGACTACATTAAAGAAAAGTCGGCGTAGTATCCAGAGGGGTCATCATATCCAGAGAGGTTGTGTCCAGAGATGTCATTGTATCCAGAGAGGTCGTGTCCAGACACGTCGGCATGTCGTGAGAGGTCCAGAGTTCCAGAGTGACTTCAACATCATAGCTATGGCAGGATTCGAACCAGGAGCTGTGTGGAGCCAGGCGAACAACAAGAAAGACCGAGCAGGTGAGAGACTTTAATTGGCAACTGGAAGGAAAGATTGTTGATTGACTGGACATTGCAAAGAAAGAAATTTTATGTGATGTAGCGAACTGTGAAACCTAAAACCAGGTCAGCAAAGGCACTGAGGATCCACATTGCAGTACTGTGGAGTGGACTGAGATAGGCAAGGCAGATCTAGATGACTTGCCTGCGTCTGGTGCTTGCGTGAGGGGAAAATATGATGTCAGTGCCGAGAAGGCAGTTGGGGCTGAGGAATCTCTAGGAGCCTGATGAGGTTTCTTTGGAGCTGGAGACTAAGTGGTGTTGAGAACCAGAGAGTGAGCCAGATGATGGTGGCTCCACTTCAACACCAATGGTTCCCCTCAGGGGCGAAAGTGTTCAGACGGAGCAGACACGCATGGAAATGTAGCAATATTCGGGGCAAAAGGGCTCCTGGTGATAGTGACAAGCTTGATAACAGCCAGGATCCATGCAAAAAGGCAAGTGGGAATTCTGGCAAAGCTGGTGCCAGTGTTTCTGAGTCAGAGGCAAAGGTGGCAAGCTTGCATGGGTGAAAGGAGGCAGAGGCACCACTTGTACAGCGGAGTCCAAGTAGTCCAAGCTGGCATCCGAGATCACACTGGGGAAATCAAGAAAGTTGTGGAGGGCTGCCTGGAGAGGCCGCAAAGTGATCCATGTGATGCTCCCAATCTGGAAAGTGTGGGAGGTGTGGGAATAGTTGGTGAGCCAGAGCGGGCTTATCATTAGAGAGACCCAACATAAATCAGTTCCTCCAATTTGGCGGGTTATCATTAGAGAGACCCAACATAAATCAGGTCCTCCAATAGATCATGCATTGGTGTCGAGCTGGCCTGGAAGGTTTTGGCTTCTTAGGTGGCCAAGAATCTGCAATTGAAGTTTGATCAGTTGACACCTTTTGCTTGGTTGTTGATGATTTAGAACTGAAGGCTGTTGATGTCAGGCAGAAGGCTTGGCCTTGGGAGGGTGAGGCCTGGCAGCCGAGTTTGATGGCAACGCCAAGGGAGCTGCTTCATTCGCAGAACGGGAGGGGGTGGCTGATGGATGCTGTTTGGTGGTTTCTGAGATGGCTTTGTCCATAGCCTTTGCTTGGGCACTGATTTACAGATGGGCTGTGCCATGGTTGCTCCTGGCTGGAGAGATTCCTCCCAGAGACAAAGTTTAAACTGGGAAAGATGGCTATGAAGGACTATGCGTTTGAGGTTTTTGCTATAAGGGCAGGAGGTTGTTTGGTGAGCCTCTCCAAGGCAGAAAAGGCACTTAATATGGCCGTCATAGAGGGGGATTTTATTATTGCAAGAGATGCAATGT